GGGAGAAACCAGCAAAAAGGAGGGAGTCAAGCGGGGTCAGAGTAGGAAATTTGTTTGGTAGACAGCAAACAGTGTTTGTTACAGAGTCTGTTTATATCTTCTGTATATCAGTAAAGTTCAAAGAGGTCATGGCCTCCTAGGAGAGTAGCACATCAGAAGTGTGCTGCTTATCAAAAGATGGCTGGTATGGATAAATAAATTCTAGCATAGCCATACAATGACACGCTACTCGGCACTAAAAATAGACTGCTGAGGACTGGCCGAGTGGCGCGTTGGTTAAGAGCTGGCTTGGGATGCCAGCTCTAAGCAGTAGGGCCCCGGTTTGGATGCTACATGGGGGCCAATGACACTGGCCTCTACAGCTAAGATGGTGAACAACACCTCGACCTGGAGCTTGGCTGCTGTGAGTCGCCAGCGATGGCGTAGGCTGTAGCCCCTGCTGCCGTGGGCTGCCATAAGCTACCGTGTGTGGCTGGCAGCCAGCGTGAGCGGCTGGCAGCCGGTGTGAACTGCCAAGAGCCACCATGAGCGGCCATCCAGAGGCCGGCGACTGATCTGCTTCACCCAGGAAGAGCGCAATGATAATACCAACATGGACCAGTGAAGCAACATCCTCCACAACTAGACTGAAGAACAAAACAACAGCAACTTGTCTGTTCCCCTCCCCCAATTCCCCAATAAAATCTTTAAAAGAAAAAAAAAAGAGTTGACTTGGGATGCCAGCTCTGAGCAGCAGGGCCCCAGTTCAGACCCCACATGAGGGCCAGTGATGCTGCACCCTCTACAGTTAAGATGGTGAACAACAGCTCAACCTGTAGCTGGGCTGCCATGAGTTGCCAGCGATGGCATAGGCTGCAGCCCCTGCTGCAGTGGGCTTCTATGAGCTACAGTGAGTGGCTGGCAGCTAGCATGAGCGGCGGTCCAATGGCTGGTGAGCGACTGCCTCACCTGGGAAGAGCGCATTGATAATACCAACATGGACCAGTGAAGCGATATCCTCCACAACTAGACAGAAGAACATAAGGACAGCAACTTGTCTGTTCCCCTTCCCCAATTCCCCAATGCTGTTCCTCTCCCCCAATTCCCCAATAAAAATCTTAAAAAAATAAATAAATAAAATAAAATAAAAATGGACAGCTGATACATGCAACATCATGGATAAATCACAAGGCATTAAGCCAAGTAAAAGAAGCCTGACAAATGACTGTGTACTGTATGATTTCATTTATATGACATTCTAGAAAAGGCAAAACCATAGAGACAGCAAGCAGATCAGTGGTGGCCAGGAGCTGAGGATGGAGGGAGGTGACTGGATACAAAGGGGAATGAGGGGAAATTATGGGATGATAAAAATGCTCTAGAGATTAAAGAGAAAACTGCTATTGTTTTTTGGGTGATGGTGTGAAAACGGACAAAAGGACCTTGCAGGAAAGTTCATTTTGAGCATAGGATACAGGTCTCTTGTCTTGAGAAACAGGATCATCTGCCCAGGATTTGGTTTGGCATACATTTCATTTCTATGTTCTTTAGAATATCGGTGTGGAGTTGGCAAGCACAAAACTCTGAAGAGAGCTGAGAACACCCTGTGAGCTCAGCTCTGGTTCTTAAATACCTGCAAAAGGCCTTCAATTAATTAAAATATGGTTCTCCTTAAGAAGAAAGCTTTGCCATGCTTTACAGAGGGTGCCATGTGTTCCATTTCAGTGTTCTTATTATTAATATTTTGGGGGGCTACCTGTGGTCTTATACATTCGGGACTTTTGATACAGTTTGTAACAGACAGATTTTGCCTCAGTAAAGGGTCCTTCTTGTTGAAGTACATCCTTAACTATTTATCATGGTTCTGACCAAATACGCCTATAACTGATTATGGAAAACTGTGGGAATCCCAGCATCTAACGGGGGGGGGCAGGGGTGAGGAACAGATATTTTTGGTTGAAGGGACCTGTCCAACACTTCAAGTCATATCACGCAGGCAGCTGCCTATTCTGTGACAATTCTGCCCACAAGATCCTGAAGGGTGGTTCCTGAAATAGTGCCTAAGACGTTGTCTGATGAAGAAGCGTTGTCCAAACAATTGGTGTGGAGAGAATCCCATGGTTATTTTGTGGCTGGTGCAGGTTTTAAAAAAACTTGTTATTGTTGATGGAAATTTTCTCCCACATGCATTAATTACACATATACATATCCTGCATCCTGATTATTAAGCACTGGGACTTTGTAAATGTGCATCCCACTCTAACATAACATTACTTCTGAGTTTCAAAATATTACCATTCCAGCACCATGATATAAACATCACCATTCCCAAACACACGATTTTCAAAGCCACAGATCAAGTGCTAAACTGTCTTCATCCTGGAAAGAGAAAAATCCACTTCACACTGTAATCAGCTTGCCTGTCATAGACCCCTCATGAGAGGGAGATAATGCAATTAGTACTAACTGAAATGCTGGGCATTGTATGAAGGAAGCACCCCTGAGTGGGTTGGTTGCAAATTTTTGGAGGTTACTGAGAGGATGTGACTGCCTATTGACAACTCCCCCCCAAGTGGGACACTGAGAGGATGTGACTGCCTATTGACAACCCCCCCCAAGTGGGACACTGAGAGGATGTGACTGCCTATTGACAACCCCCCCAAGTGGGAGCCAGGCAATCAGAGGCTCCTCACCTCTCCCCTGTGCTTGGAATGTACTTCTGCCTACTGTTCCCATATTGTTCAAAGCATGCAGCCTTGAGACAATAAGGTATCGTTGAAACCATCTGTGACTGAACCCAGGTAAGGCCTCCATATACACCTTTAAGGCAGGTGCTGTGATCTACTAGCCTTGCTGCTGCCCAAGACAAGCCTCATATGTCAGTTCCCTTGCTTATTAAACCCTCCACCTACCAATCTGGAGGGTGTTTCTGCCTCTTTCTTTGGTCTCTCTTTGCCTTCCATGTACAGGTACCAGTTTGCAAACCAACATAAATTTTTGTTCAAAAGCAGATTCTAGGGATCCCATCACTAGAAATTTCTATTCAACAGGTATGAGATGGGGCTCAAGAATCTTTATTGCTAAGTTTTAATAAGTACCCTACATGATGCAGATGCTGTGGCCTTTGAGCCACCCTTGGAGAAAGACCCTTTTAAAAAATATCTAACCAGGAAATTTATTTTCTTTCAGGATTTAACGGGAGGCAGTATTGATCTATTGCTTTTAGGCTTTCTCAGTGGACAAAGCTAGGAAATATATCAATGTATATACACACGTACATATATTTTTCTATCTACTTAAATTAGAAATCATTTCATACCATCACTTCTAATTTAAAGCCACATCACTGGATTTATTCTAATCTTTCCCATTCTTAGATCTGTAATTTTCTTCTCCAACTGTGTGAAACTTGCCTCCCAATATCTTTAATATGCTCAGTTTACCAGTATGTAAACCAATTTGTTGGCCATGCCAGCAAAAAGTGTGGCCTGTCTTTATTAAGTTACTTTTATTATTATAATATATATATATATATACACACACATTACATAAAAATTATAGTTATAAAAATTATATGTAAAAATATATTGTCACAGAATAGGCATGTATATGTGTATGACATATATACACATGCTATGTATACATGCAATCAAATAAGTTATATGAAATCAAATAGTAAATCAAATATTTCCCATATATTTAGGAAATTATATATAACATATATTAGAAATCCCACATAATACATAAAATATATCAATATAAATAAATATATATAAATACCTGATTTCATATATTTTCCCCCAGCTTCATTGCAATATTATTGACATACAACATGAAGTTTAAGTTATGCTATGTGATAATTTGAGACATGTACATGTTGCAAAACAATTACCACAATAAGGTTAGCTTGTTTGTGTGCATGTGCATAACATTTAAGATTTACTTGTCATACACTTCTAGTGCTTAGCAGAGGGTCTAACACAAGGCAGGTACTAATCATTGCTTTTTGGATAAAAGAACAAGTACATCCATTAATCAGTATAGAATGGTGGGAAATGAAACGTAGGTCGGAAAGGAGACCTTAAATTTCAACCTCTGCACCCACATGGATGAACATAGTTCAGGTCGTCCGTCCTTGGAAGTGTTTAGTTCTTTTATTTCAACTCTACCTCCTCCCGCATGAGACAACGCAATTTAAGAATAAATACTGAATTTGTTCTTGATATTGATAGCATTGACATTGCACACCAATCCTATGGTCACCATTTAGCACCAACAATCTTGTTCTATTTCCACGTGCAGCTCCCTGAGTCTGTAAGTACACATCGAACTTCAAAGCTCCCACATGAAAGCATGTGGTCAGTTCAAGTTACCCTTCCTCATTTTCTGTCTTCAACTTTTTTCTTCTTTCCCCAAGAATATTCGCAGAGTTCATTTTTCTTGAAAGTTGTTTTGTGGTGTTTCAGATAAGAATAATCACAAAACACCCCAAATACAGAGCGTGGTGTAAATGTTGAATCAATAAAAATGACGAGGTTAGTAACAAAATCCCTGATGATCGCCGTGGCCCGTTTCAGTTTAGAGGGCGCCAGTTACGCACGTCAGCAGAAGATTCAAAAGCTACAGCGTAAACCACTCCGGGCCAGGAATCCCTAAGACAACCCTGACGCCACTGAAGTTTCCAGACGCAGCCAGCTCTCGGAATTGATTGAAAGAGCCTCCGCATCGCTGAGCCAATCTGCCAGTTTTTTCGGCGGCAGCTCAAGTGCCAGAAATTTCCAGGATTTTCTCTTCCTCGGGCAGATCATCGCCTGCACTTTCCGCGGTGCCGGGAACAGGTGAGCCGGTCGGCGGCGCCTTTGGGACGCGCTCAGGTGCTTCGGCCCCGCCCCAACTCGCGCCGCTCGGGGCCCGCGCAGGTGCGGGCGCCCAGGTACGCGCGGCGCGGGCTGCAGCTCCGCTCCACACCCGACAGCGGGCGCCGCTGCAGCAGCTCCGGGGCCGCGGAGCCGGGCGGATTCGCGAGTTGGGGCAGTCCCTGCGCTCTGCCCTGCTCCGCGGAGAGAGCTCCGCCTGGGCGCCGGCTTTTCCACAGCGGCGAGAGCGGCCCGGCGCAGAGTGGGCGGACTGACCTCCGCAGACCCAGCCGGCCTGGGGCGGGGAGAGGCGGGCGAGGGGCGAGCGCCGGGGAGCGCGGAGAGCGGGGCCGGCCCCGAGCGCGCTGGAGACAGCCGAGCGCCCCGCGCCCTGGCACCGTGCTCCCCGCCGCGCCTCCTCGCCGGCCCCGGGCGTCGCTCTCCGCTCGCTGAGCCCCCGCGCTCCCCACCGCGGAAACTCGAACAGACGAGGCGAGGCGTAGGAGGGCAGCTCGGAGACTGACCCAGACGTCCCCTCCGCCCCCAAGAGGCTGCCGGTCCCCCGTTCCCTGGGCTTCTCTAGCTTTACCATGAACCTGGCGCAAGCTAGGCTTTAGGACAAATTCCGAAGCCGGAGGGGGAGTCAAGGCAATTCTTTGGTTGCTAAGGTAATTGTAGTTGTGACAAAAATGGGCAAGAAACAAGTGGGGGGGAAAGATGTTTTGAAGCGGCGTGCCCCCACCCCCAATTCATGTGTGTTGATGTCATTTCATCTCCTGGGTGTGGATGCTGGTCCGTTTCAGATGCGTGACAGGTGTCGGGGGTGTGTGTGTGTGTGTGTGTGTGTGTGTGTGTGTGTGTGTGTGTGTGCAGTTTGGGACTGTAGAGGCACAAGCTTACATAAGTGGCAATGCAAGCTGGCGTGTGTACTTGTGTGGGATGGGTGCAGGTCTGCATAGAAATCATGTTCCCGGGCGTCTGGGTGTGAAGCGCTCACCGACTGGGACGAGCGTGCAGAGGGTACGTGTTTTTGGGGACCTCCAGTCTTCCTGTGATTTGGAGATCGCAGGTAAGGCAGCTTTACCTCCAAAGCAGACCTTCGTCAACTTTTCCTCTACATCAGCTCGCCCATTTGTGGTTTGGAGGAAAAGAAAGCGAGTGGTGAGGGTGTGGAGGGGAGGAGTGGGTGATGAGGTCTGTTTTGGGGAACTGCGGCAGGAAAGGGAACGGAGGTATTCTCTCTGAGAGGATGACAACTAAACTGGTTGCCTGAAGGGACCGTGTTTACAGTCACTGTCAGGCTGCTTAAAAAGTGGCCCAGAGAGACAGGGGACAGTGACCCAGAAGATTGAATTTTGTTTAGAATGAAAGCTGCTGTATTTTTAAAAATTTTGTTGGAATAGGAAGGAATGTTCTTTCTTTCTTGTTTTGAGGAGTGGCATTCCCATGTTACAAACTGAAGATAATTTGGGTCTCATTGTTGGCTTAGAATTGTTCCCTCAGCATTTGTCAATGCCTAGGAGCTGGATCTGCAGGTAGTTTCCAATCAATACCTTTTAGCAGCCCCAAAGCAAAACTGACCAAATAAGCAGTATTAGGTAGCCTGACATTGGACCCTTTTCTCACTAGAGGGGGATGAGAGATGGAGGATGAGAACTGGGCTTATAAGTGTCTGAATGGAATTAGAGACTGAGCTACAAGTTTGTGCATGTTTTGTTAAAAAGTGGTAGAAAGGAAACTTGTTAGGTTTAGCTTAATATGTTAGCAAGGCTTTTATATATCAAGTTTTATAGGCAGATGGGTAATTATATGGAGTGGACACTAGGGAGTTGGTGAGAAACTTTCTGTGAGTTGTATGTTCTTTATGTTATTTATTCCTCCTCTTATTATTACTTAATTTTGCAATGGACGGGACTACCCTGTGAAAAAAAATAAGTTGAGGACAGAGGGAAATTTGAGACTCTTTGGAGGTACACTTTTGTAAGCAAAAGCTTGCATGCTGAACAGAAAAAAACAAGATGACCAATTCTTTCTGAGTTTTCTGATACTACTGTTAAGTTAAATTGTGTACATGTGGTAATCCTATGTACTGTAAATGTTGCGATATGCCATATATATCTATATACATATATCCACCCCCAATAACTGGACCTTTCCTGAAAGTGTCTATAAATTCTAGAAATGTCAGCTGTTGTGAGGTATTTTGATGATGTAGGTAACCACTGGTGTTTCCTTTTTTATATCCATTACATTGTTTCTTAACCTTCCTGTCTCCTTTAGGAAACCTTAATTTACATTCACTGATGATATGTCGCTGAGAGTTTCAGTAAAATAATGCTGGTTTCCTTCAAGCAACAAATTATTCTTATCAAGTGAAACATTGCAACAGTGCTTTTGTGGTAGAAATGTCTCTTTAAATGAGACATTTATTTATTTATGAATAGTTTGTGGAATAAGATAGCCAACTTAGATATTTTTTTAAACGAGAAAACATTTCTTGAGAAAGTAAGTTTTTAATTAGCGTATCAGTGACACACAATTTTATATTGGTTTCAGGCGTCCATAATGCTTTGATATTTGTATACACTGTGCTATGATCACTACGTCTAGCTACTCTCTAAAAGGATATTTAGGACAATATTCTCCCATGCATTTTATCCCCTGAACTGCGAAGACTTTGCCAGAAATGGCTGAATGTTCTGTTTTGTGCCAGGGGTTAAACATCAGGGAGATATGAGTAAGGAGCTATGTGTCACATCAACATTTTTCAGAAGGGATGCTCTCGGAGATTTCAGTACTGGGATTAATTTTTCCTGTAGCCTCACAGTTAGCTTGTCTTAATGCATGATGCTTTGAACCTAGGAAAGGATTTAACCTCTTCATTTTCAGTGCCAGCTGGAAGGAATATATTTACCGAATTTCATCTTCATTGTAACATATGGCATGATATAAATAATTACTACATGTACACTGTCCTGCTGTATGGAGAGAAATAGAATTACAAAATAAATCTTCATGTTGAGTGATATGGATGGAACCTGTCAAAAAGTTTTAATTTTTTTATTACAAAAGTAATATGTAACCATTGGGGAAAACTCAGGAAACTACAAAGAAAAAAAGATCATTTGTAATTCTCCCACCAGTGAACTGTTGACATTTCTGCATAGTTTACATTCTTCCAAACTTTATTCTGATCACGTTATTCATTATATTTTTACCCACACTACCAAATTTTAAATCTTGTAAGTAGAACTTGGATATGTGTGAAAAGTTTGGGAAATTACTGCTTGTTTACTGGATGGGTTTTATGGATCCGGTTTTAATTTTTGTTAGTGGTCTTTATTTTCAAAGAGAGTAGTTTCTCTGTTTTTCTGTTTCCTTTGAAAATCAAGATTTGCCCTTTGGATTGGTAATACTTGGTGCTCAGATGACTGAGGGGTCACCCGCAGAGTTTGTGCCTCCGTTGGTCTAGAGTGGGGCCTGAAAATTTACATTTCTAACAGTCCTCACATGATGCTGACTCTACTGGTCTGGGGACAACACTGGGTACTAGGTAGTAAGATCCTTGGGGGCAGAAACACTGTTGCACGTCTTCACATCCATCTGTTCCATACTCAGCAACATACCTGCCAGTAGATGTTAAGTGGATTGAATCATTGCCAGCTTTTTCCATGGGGGAAAATGTTTCTGAAGCACTCATGAGAAAAGAGGTAATCACCCAGAATTTGGAACCAGTAAGTCTGTAATAAGAGTAATAATCAGTCATGAAACCCAGTTCTTCAAACTGCAAGGAAAGCAAAAATGCCCACAAGTAGGCAGTTAAAGTAGACATTAAGCCTAATGAGTTACATTAAGCAACAACTCAAAGCACTTGCTTGAGATGTTACACACCACCCAGCTTATCACATGCTTCCCTGCTGCCTCTGAGACCTGTAAGAGGCAATTCATTTTCTACCACATACGGGTTCCAATAGGAGGAGGGGGAGGAAATTCACTATTAATTTACCCTAATTATCAAAGCCGCAGGTAAAGAAAGCAGTAGTCCGGACTCCCACCCCCTCCCCAAAAGGCAGAACGATGCTCCTTAGAGCACCACGACCATTCTGGGGGATAGGTCCCCATTTTATGACTGAGGAAACTAAGAGAAGAGGGCGCTAAGGGCATGCATTTGATAGGAGATTCCAGCTGGCTGAAATGCCCCACTTTTTGGTCATCCTCATGTGGCTACTTTGTGATTAGAAAATGAATCCTTTCCTTCTACTTAGGTGTCATAAACATAGGGTACAGCCATTTTTTTGTATGAAAACTTTAAACTGTGTAAATATTTGAATATGAGCAAAGTAGATACTCATGTAACTGAGGCTACTCAACTGAGCTGTGGTGGAGACTAGCTGTCTTGGCTTTTCTAAATACTTATGTAGGTAAAACCATCAAGGGAAAAGCCATCTTTAAGTCTTTGCATGTTTGAGTTCCCTTATTCACTAGTGTCTGCCTTACCCCAGAGGCTCTTTTCTTGCCCAGGGGGAAGTGCCCATTAAACAAAGCCTTCTGAGGTGAGAGTGTCCTGCATGAATGCTAACTAGTGGTGGCACCCCTTTGGAAGTACCTGGGACACTTGTATTGTGCTCACTGAGACCTGGCAGCCCCGAGCCCAGACTGAGAACTGCGATCAGTGGCTCTTAAAGCAGCACAACAGTCATTTTAAACCCTGTTAATTGTGTAGCGGAACCTCAATTTCCTCATCTGTAAAAAGGGAATAAAAATATACCCCTTGAGTACCTGTGGCTGCAAGGAGGAAATATGCGTACTGCACAGAGGAGACCCAGGGGCTGGAGACGGACCCTGTCACATCACACTTCGTATTTTCTAATAATATTGATAATGAGTTGTTGGTTTGCAACCTCTAGAATCTCTGGATAAAATCTGAAACTAGTCCCTGTACACACAGGACAAGGAGAGGCCAAAGAGAGAGACAGGTCGCTCCAGATTTGTAGGTGGCAGGTTTAATAAGCAAGAGAACTTACATACGAGGCTTGTCTTAGGCCGACCGCAAGATGAGTAGATTTCCACACTTGCCCACCACAATCTTAATAGTTTATTTAGAGGCCTTAATGGGGTTCACTCATATATGCTGTCCAGATGATCTCAACAACATCTTATTCTTTCAAGGCTGCATCCTTGAAAATGGCTCCTGCTGTGGAAACAGTGGGCAGAACATACATTCCAAGGACAGCGGAGGGGCGAGGAGCCTCTGATTGCTCAGGTCCAGCTCACAGGTTAACCGGTGGTCACATCCTCTCAATGACCTTCTCCAATAGGAGTCTGTTAGGAAATAAGTATTTTGGGGTAATGGCTCCCCTTCTATTTTTCTGTTCCTGAGGACTTGCTACATCAGCCTGGCATTGAGTCCCTGGGGAATCCTGCTCCATAGTAGTAACTTGAGATTTGAGGAGGCATAGAAAGCAAACAGGCCAGACACCAAGAGGAGAGGGTGGTGTAAGAAAGGTCTTCCTTTTGGGAGCTACAGATGACTCTGTTTCCTTAAGCCCGAAGGCCATTAATCACCAGCAGGAAGAGAAGTGAAACATAGGGACTGCAGCTCCGTTAATATCTCTTGTGCCAGACTGTGACCCACACCCGGAGCGAGGCCATGTGTTATGTTTCCTCT